TAAGTATAATATTACATCTCAAAAATTCCAATGAAATATATTAGCCTATATAGGCATCCTTCACAGACTGTTTGAATTCAGAAATGTTTCATGTATTGACAAACTGTTTAGAAGCATTTATAGATTTCACTGGACCATTTCTTTGGAGGGTTCTTAAACTGAGAAACCAAGATTATGTATGATAGTTGGAATCTTTATTTTTACTAGGTCATTTGAACATGCAAGTTTTGTACTTCAGTTGCTATAACTCTATTTTCTAAGAAAACAATTGGATAGATGTTTTTATTAGATCTTCTATTTTTCCTTATTTAAAGTGGCCTTTATAACTAGGACTACCTTCAAAAAATTACATTTTTCTTCCATTTTTCGTAGTTTGTCAGCTTCCTTTTGCTTATCAAGCTCTTCAAGCCATTTTTTCTGTTGCTCACGTTTCACAGCACTAAAAGGACGCTCTACTGGTGTTGCTTCCTAAAAGAAGAACGCTGGTTATTTTCATTATCCCTTTACCTTTGTCAATAGGTAAACATACATGTACATAAAAAGGAAGAAGTTAAATAAATTCAGCTTATCCAATTTGACTTTAATCTTTAGCTTTTGCACTACATATTGTGGATAATGATCATAATATTTCTGATTGCAATTTAAGGTACTGACACCTCTTGTCTTTGAACTAGTTACTTCTTCAAGATGGGTGCATTAAAATCTGCTGAGCCATCAAATAGTTGGAGCTTGAAATACTTACTAGGTGGGGACATTTTAATTTTAAAGTTTAATTTAATTATAATTATTGGGTGTTTTGAGTATACAGGTAGTCCTAAACTTACAACCATTGGTTTAAGCGACCACTCGAAGTTACAATAGCACTGAAATAATTAACTTATGGCTGGTCCCAATTGTGGTTATAAGTTGAAAACTACCTATATATCTGTATCTATACCTATCATTTTTGACACATATTCTTACATTTCTGAATAACCTACCTAAGTACAGGAATTTTATGATGCAAAATAAAGAGTTAAAAATAGCGTACAGTCAGTATGGAGCAGTTGTCGATGAATATATCTGGTTTGAAAGTTACATACATTTTGTAACTTACATCTTGATCATTTATTATAAAATCAAGTTAGAAATACTTTTCAGCAAGCATAGTGAATGAATGAACAATAAATGAAATCAACCTGAAACAAGTACAAGTTTGCTAATGTAATAGGACTTTCTCTTCATTTTCCTACAGTTTGTGTCACTCCCAAGCCTTCTCACTTCGTCCAAATGCCTCTCAATCCCCTGAAACAGAATTGGAAAATGCAGTGTGGATGCATAAGGAACTGGCCCATCCCCGTCTACTGGTAGGAGCAGCATCAGGACCAGTTAATTGCATTTTTTTTTCCATTTTCTGCATATCCTTTAACTATAACTAACTTAGTACCCATGCAAAGTATGGTCCAAAGTGGATTCATTCAATTTGCTTTAAAGGTATATCAAATGATGTCCTATAAGCCAATCTCTTAGAAACTGCCAAAGAAAGGCATTCGATGAGTAGAAAATCTTAAAATATAGAACAATGCACAGAAATCCGTTCTTACCCCTAGCACAAATGCTGTTCGAATAGCAGCTGGCAAATCAGGAGAACTGAAACTGGAGAACTGTTCAGTTCGACTACTGGACACACTGGGAGAAGTTTCACTAGGCTCAATGGTTGAAGTTCTAAGACTATGGATGTCTTCTGCTGCAGGAGACAAGTTGTCTGACGATGTCATCTATAACAAGGTATCTTGGTGAATTCAAACATTATACTTTAAGAGGAATGTAAAAAACAAATACAACATTGTAAGTGATCATATATGATGTAATTAATTTTATCCAAAAAATAGTATCAACTACCTCCTATATTATGCATCATACCTACATACCATACAACTTCCTCAGGTTGTGATAATGCCTTATGGGATCAATAGCAAAAAATAAATAAATGCAAGTTAAATTTTATTTAACAACATAGAGACAGAAGTATAGATATAAGCATTTTTCTTACAAGCAATGGATACAGTAAGCATGTTTTATTTTTTTACCTTTACTTGATGACTGTTTTGTCTTTTTTCTAAGCAGCTTTTCACTGTATCAACTGCCTGCCTCTGGTGGTTTCTGGACTCTGCTTCCAAAGTTTCTTTTAGTTTCTTCTTTAAAGCTACTTGTTCATCTTTAAAGACAGAAATAATCATTGCAATCACTCATTAAATAATGGATGATCATGATGGAAGTGAGACGAGACATCTCCTTGGCTTTGTATATTACCCTTCTTCCATGTCTTTCTAGCATCGCAAGATGACTTGAGCTTTCTCTTAACATCCTTTATTAAGATCACATGTAATTTAGCCTACACTCATGTCCTAAACTCTAGTTGTGTTAGTTATCATTTGTTGTAAAACAAGTGCATTTCTTAAGTCATAATTTTAAATGGCTTAGTTCAATAAATAGTAGTTAGAAGTAACACGTTCAATAATAGAAGTTTCAGTTAATAATAAATGAATCAACTTCTTCAACTGCACCAGAGACAGAATTTAAGGATGCATTTAATCTGATTTATTTTATTGTTTATAAATCCATCGGGAAGTTATTTACTTTCTGTCCCAGGAAATGGAAAATGGAGAAATTTTAATTGGCTAACAGAGATCACATACAATCACTCAATTCAGTTAAAGTCTAAACAAGGGAACTATCGTTCTTTTTTGTACTTATGTGAAAAATAAGAAACACACCATTCTTTTCCAGAATACAGGAGTAAGAGACAGTAAGCCAAATGAATTATAGCATGAGATACAGAAAAGGAAAAAGAAAAGAAAAGAGGACAGGAAATACAGCTAAATCTAATTTATTTCAACCATTCACTATATCTCTCCATCTTCTTTTTACCCTTCTGTATCATTTTTGCTTCTCCCACATCCATATACTATTTTCTTCAATATTCTGGATAAGGGCCAAGTAGTCTCTAGATTACAGATTTCTTTTAACTGTTTTACTAATTCAGTAAAACTGTTTGTAAGAAGAGCATAGCCAACAATATACTTTATTAAATAATAAATAAATAAAAATAGTAATAACAATAGGTGTTATTGGAGCACCACTTGAATACATTGGCATTGACAAAATCACCCATCAGTCAATTGCAAAAGACAGCCTTGTTCAAAACAGCTTACATTCTGCAACGATATCTCTAACTCCATTGAACATCCACATCTGCTATCCCAGGTCCTTAGGAAGGACTTGACAAGTAGACAAAAATGCCAAATCCATCTAAACATCTGGCTGACTGTGCAATGAACCATAACATTACAATAATCTCAATTAACAGTGGCATTCATGATGTTGCATCTCATTCAGACAACACTATATATAGAAGATCTTGTGGACTAACCACGTTTTAACAAGTGCTTTTGTGCCATGCTTCTTTGGCCATCTTGTCACAAAGCTTTAACTCAGTGGTTCTCAACCTTTTTAATGTCGCGACCCCAACTGGTCGTAAGTCGAGGACTAAACCGGTCGTAAGTCGAGGACTAAACCGGTCGTAAGTCGAGGACTACCCAACCGGTCGTAAGTCGAGGACTTTCCCTGCCCGGGAGCGCCGCGCATGCGTGGTTCCGCCCCCTGCGCCGGCCGAGGCGTAGCTGGCAAGCGGCAGAGACGGAGCAGGCTGACCACTAGCTGGCCCAGCCCAAGGGAGGTAAGGCACCCGCCGGAAAAGGGGGGAAAAATGGCGGACAAAAAAAAATGGACAAAAAAAATGGCGGACAGCCTTGCTTGGCGACCCCCATGAAATGGTTGATCGACCCCAAATGGGGTCCCGACCCACAGGTTGAGAACCACTGCTTTAACTGTTTTCCATCAACCACTTAGCCTTCCCTATGAAAAAAATCACTGGTACTTGCTTTATCAATCTTCTGCCATTGTCGTCTTGCTGCATTTCAAGTTGGGGTCCAAAAGATAGTATCCACTGTCACAAGCACCCTCAAGACAAACAGCTTTGACCAGGTCATTTCAGCTCCTACAGTGTTTCAGCATCACAAACGTTCCTCACTGTCCTCTAGTACTCAACAGCACCATGGGTACATAAAATAGGGCTCACAGCCAGCATTTTCTTATCTTCCAGTTTGACTTTGCTTTTATCTCAGTAATCCTTCAGAACACAGCTCAAAGCCTCACAAACCGCAAACCCTAGCAACCAACAATCCTCAACACCAGTACTAGTACACAAACCCTTTCTAAACTCTAAAGGATTCTCTGGAAATAAAATCTGCAAACCCAGCTGACACTCTTCTTTCTAATCTAAAAACATACATGCTGGTGCCATTTTATTTCTCTCGCTGGCATAGAATAGGGTGAGCATACTTGGGGTTTGGTCGCACTTGTTGCACACTAGATAAGATGTGCTAGAACTGACTGGGACTATCTTTATTATTACAAGAGACGCAACATACAGAAGAGATGTAAGTAAGGCTAGAAACTAGTGTACCACATCTTTTCTATCTTTTTAAAAAGCACTATAGGGAAAAAAAGACCTGTAAATGGTGCATGTATCTTAGATAATTGTTATTTGATTTCTATACTTACTAAGACTAAAAAAATAATGAAAAAGATTGAAATATCAAAACATTTAAACACTGATCAATGAAATCTGTACTACTAGAAAAAGCATATATTACTCGGATCAAAACCAGAAGAAACCCACCTGTTATTTCAGAAACAAAATATTTAAGGTTAGATGCTAATTAATGATCAGTTGCATAATCTAGAAATATAGCAAGTTACTCAGTACCTAGTTCTTTCTTCCACTGAGATTTCTTAGCATCTAACAAGGTTTTATCCGACTCTCGTTCTCCTAGAGTACTGAACATGTCAGCTGGTTTCCATGAATTCCTGGTGAAGAAAATTTAACAGATTTTTACATATCACCCACTAATATTAAAATAAATATTACTTAGAAATCCAAACATTATATTATACTATTAGGACCAGAAAGAAATCCAAGCATTCTGTTCATTACAATTTTATCAAACAACACAATTCATTTTGGACAAGGAAGAAAGGTCCTCTTCACTATTTTTGCATTCTAAAAGCATTCTGTAAGTAAATAAACACTGACTAAAAATTAAATTAATTAAATTGACAAATTAAAGCAATATTGTTTATTGTTTGCATGGATAACCTGAGCACATGAAGCACTCTAGGTCCACTGCACACTAAGCATGTTTATGTATTATAATTGAGTACAACATACACAAAGGGAAACCCATCCAGCTGCCTCCTGAGACTACGTGTTCTCTCTCTCTTTTCCTTTGGAAGGATGTGGAAGCTTTTGCACTCATTTAGCTATGTTTTAATGAAACAATAATTACCATTACTGCTACTCTGTTGCAAACAAGCCATTTACACATTATAAATCCTGAAGCTGGCTTACTGAAACTAAGCAGATAGAAAACTCTAGTTGATTAGGAAAGAAAGAGTATTTAATTAAAGTTGATGGGGATAGTGAAAGCTCCCGCAAAAGACTAAACTTGTTCCTGTCATGCTAAATTGAAACTGATCTTACCATGATATATAAACAGTGGTATGGTTAACCTACAATACTCACGGTATACTTATTTGTTTTGCTTGAGCCATTATTTATAAATTAGATGAAGTTGGCTTGTTCAAGCTCCTGAGTCTAACTCCTGGCTCAGTGTGAATCAGGCCAGTCCCTGATTTTTCATGTGCATGTCCCTATATAATTCTGTAAAGATGCATGCTATATAGTTTTTTATTTCTGGTGCCCTCAACTCAGTCTTAACTCTTGGCGACTGCCTAGACATGTCCCTTTCTTGGCAAGATTTTCAGAAGTGGTTTGCCCTTGCCTCCATCCTAGGGCTGAAGGAGAGGTACTGATCTAGGTCACCCAGTTGGCTTTATGCCTAAGGCAGAACTAGAACTCATGGTCTCCCAGTTTCTAGGTCAACACCTAACTACTACAATGAAGTAGTTCTACATATTATATAGTGCAGATAGGCAAAATGATGCCCACAGTATCAAGGGACATGTATCTCTCTCTCTCTCTTCTGGTACCTGTCAAGTTTTCTCTCTTATCTAATTTTAAAATATTTTCGTTATGAAAAATAAACAAGAAGTTGTCATGCTGTTAAATAAAATCCACTAATGTCACCTTTATTTCCAACCAAATTCCTGGGGCCCTCCCATGGATTCTTAAAAAAAAATTACATCAGGAAGCAATTGCTGTCCTGTCTGAAATGGGAGAAAAAAAAGAGAGAAGAGAAAAAAAAATCTGATAATGTCCCACATGGCAGCCACTTTCTGAGAGCCTGCAGAATGTGCCCTCAAAATGCCCAATTTGCCTACTGGCTCAGTAGTGGAAAGGTACCTACCCTGATACACAATACACAAGGGTCTTTTCTCCATTCACCCTTATGCTAACGAATATTTTTATCAAGAGCATCCCAAAGCAAAATTTAAACTAATCAGGATTTTTGATTGGTAAGATCTACGTACATTATTATTTTCTGTTCAGCATGTCTAGAGATTCCTTGGGTTTTTTTTGAACAGAAACTATTTTCACTTGAAAGAGATGGAGCATCACCAACTTTCTGAAGCAATCCCATTATATGTTCTTCTGAAGTCTGATCAAGAGTTTTGGTGTCTGAATAATAAAAAAAAAGGATTTAATATTAGTTCAGCAGCAGAAGCAGTAGATTTCTCCTTGTTTTTGATACAATAAAGTAGTAACAGAAGCTTTAAAATTCCACCATCTTTTGTTTTAGTTCTCCTAAGGAATTATATGTTTAAAATTAAAATTGTGACCAATCCGTGAATGAAATGTGAACAAACATTTTGGATTGGAAGAAGTCAAGATGCTTCAGATCCTAGTCATTTTTGAGCACTCTTTTTCAAAAGCATTTTTGAATATTATGGTTTCCATCGGTATGCATGAAGTTTTTTTTATTATTGTGGTATTATTTTACTCTACTTAGTATAAAAAGCATCTTGAATCAGTCTCTACTTAGTATAAAAAGCATCTTGAATCAGTTTATAAAGTGCCACACATTAAAACAATCTAAAAACCATATAGAGTACAATGTCACAGCTGTTTGGCAACTGAAACCTTCTCGTTAAACCAACTGTGCCTTCTGCCATAACATATTTGTGCGGTGCCAATGGCTATTGCTAAAATTTAACAACAAATTTAACAACAAAATGGCAATTTGAGACAGCGTGATTTAATGATTTAGACCTTAAAACAGGCATAACAAACCTCTAATTTTGTAAACCCACATAATCTAAAATTCACCAAAATGAAAAAAGGCCAAAAGCCAAAGTGTTTAATACTGCAGTCATGCAACATAATTGTTAAAATATGGGCTCTTGCAGAGAAATAGTGCCTACCTTGTGATAAATAAAAGAACAAGGAGGAATTAATTATAGCTATGTAAAAACTGTATCATTGGTGAAAACATGTTAGCAATTGAATTTAATATTTTTACTCTTGCAGCTTAACAGAGCTTAATTAACCCAGTTAATTCAGCAAGTGTCACCGTAAGATATTTGAAAGAAATTAATTTACCATGTAAATTTATAAACAACTTTTTGTTTGTTTGCTTTGCTTTGTCTCTCTTGATTTGCAATGCTAAGATGAAGGCATGAATGTGCCTTTCCATGAAGAATGCCCGTAAATTGGGTAGAGAAAATAAATATCTTACTTGTTTCTCCTTTCTTTTCATCCAGAACCTGAGTGGCTCCTTGGGTTCCTTCTTTTACTGCCATTAAAATCTGCTCCAGCTGCTCTTGTGTTAAACATACCAAATTGTCCCTTAGATCCTCAACAGAAAGAGAATGCTTCTTAAATTTCTTGTTGGATGCCAAAGGTTTCTTAACTGAATTTCTGACATTATCTGGCTTTGAACTTGTATTGTCTTTTTGCATTATAAAAGCATCATCTTTATTACAGGGTCCTTTTGATAAATTCTTGGTAATCATCACAGTTTCAGGATGTTTACTAGCTTTGGTCACTGATCCGGTTTTCTGTTTTGTTAAACATTCATTCTTCTCACAGGATGTTTGCACTGATTTCAGAATATGCCCATTTGGTTTTGATCTTGACGTGTATTTTAAAATCTTGTTTTTATTACATATCTATGGAACAGAGACAGTTTGTTTATTGCACAGCCCTTAAAGCTGTAATAGTACTTTTATTACTATTATTATTTCCTCCAGGAATTTGTTTTAAGCTGTACAAATGTTTTAGTTCCCCAACCAAAGAAACAGGACGTTTGCAAAATAAATTTAATGCAAATAATAGGTTCCTACCTCAACCTCTACCAAAAAAAAAAAATCTACAACAAAATAATGCATACCGAAAAACAGATTTCACTCCAATCTTGTTTTAGATTACATTTATACCAATTCAGAGGACAACTACTTTATTTAAACTCCAGATTTTATATTCTCTCTTTAAATGGCATTGGAAAAGTGCTTATGGGCAGGGCTTTTTTTCTCATAGAACGCCCAGAACGGAGTTCCGGTACCTTTTTTGAATGGAACCTTATAGGGTAGGCAAGGCGGGTTGTATGATGTGTGTGAGTTCCGGCACCTTTTTTTTTTATATAGAAAAAAAGCACTGCTTATGGGAAAGAGAAAAACTACCTTGCCCTGAGCATGTTTGGAGGAGCAACAGAGCTCTTATTTGCATGCTTAATTTGCTTTGCATCTTATGGAATTTGCAGGACATTGCCATGTCTTTACATGTAGTCATAAATTTATGATCATCCATGGTCTAGACACAGAAATGGATGTAAAGCACTTCTGGCCACCCTGTGATCACATGATCAAGATCTGGGTACTTGGCAACCTGTCTATATGATTGCCATCTGCAATCTTCTCTGTTCTACAGGCTTCCACAGAAAGTCAATGCTGAAGGCTGTAAGCTGCTGCTGCTGCCTGCCACAAAGCTGATTCCGTCCTGACAGGCAACTATTTGAGAACAAAAGGACTGTTTGCCAGGTGGGAATCTCAGCTGGAAGTGAGTCTCAAATCTCAGTTTGGAGTTGAGATCCCCCACCCCTCACAGGCAATTCTTCAAGAGTGGAAGGGCTGCTTTCAAGGGAAGAGGAAGTTTTCCAGTGGGCTACAGAAATGGAGCTCAGATTTTTCTTATTTGACTCTGAGTCGTGTATAGTTAAAAGCATAAAATATAGAAACCATATAAAAATGGAATACAAAATTAAAAGGAGCCAGGTAGAAACAAAATGAAATAAGTCTGAGCTCCATTTCTGCAATCATTCCTTTCCGTGCACAGAGCTGAAATTGGAAAGTAGCTGTTTTGCTCTGTCTACTTACTGACCCAGGAGATAACTTAATGACTCAACTGGGAATGTCAGGACTGCAATCACTGAGTGAAGGAATCATTTGGGTATCTCGCTTAATGATTGCTTCACTCAGTAACTGAGATTCCGATCCCAACTGTGGTCCGAAGTCGAGGACTACCGTTAGTGCTTTGCCTAGGGCAGAGTAAAAGCATACAGTATGTGCTCCCGAAAGAACCACCGTACTGATTTGCAGGAGAAAATAAAAGCTAGCATACCCCAGAAAACAAAATGATCAGAGGATATAGGGAGGCAGTTGCCAAAACCACACTAGGGGCTTCTCTCAGAGGGCACACCAGTCTTTGCAACTGCCCTGATAATGTCTGAAACTCATACATGATCTGAAGATTTATGAGCAATATACTTGACATCAGATTTTTTTTCAGGAAAGCACATTCACTTTTGTTTTTCTGAAGTGCTAGCACATAATTAGATAGGTAGGTAGGTAGGTAGGTAGGTAGGGAGAGAGAGAGACAGACAGACAGACAGGGAATGTGTGTATGTGTGATNATGTGTGATATATAAATAAAAACCATGTGATACATAGTTTTCACCTTTACTACCCACCCACCCCATGGATATTTAATGTACATTTCAAAACTAAAAGCTGAATATGTAAGGTATTTATATTCTTTTCCTTCAGAGAGTAACCTCATAAACCTTTTTTTTAAAAAAAGAAAAAGAAAAAACCCTTACATTTTTCAACGAAAGGAAATGAAAAAGAAATCAATGGGCAGAAAGTTCCTAAAGAGATAGCTAAATCCTGCATCTTGCCTGGAAAATCCAAAGAAATAAGGAAGATAGTAGCTAGTAGATTTTTATAAGAAGACACAGGTCTTAAGAAAGCATGGGTTCAAATCTTTTAGGGCTTTAAGGGCAAAAATGAGATTGAACATGTTGCTGACCACTTTTTCTTAAATTAGAAAATTTCCTAGTACAATGAAATTTCAACACATATAGCTACAATTATTTTTCAGTCAAAGCAATAAAATTTCATACCTTCAATATTATAAGCAGGATTTAAGACTTACCCTTATGCCTGGTTTCGACTTACTTACTGTGAAAGGGGAAAAAATAGCATTAGAATAAGGTCCAGGATAATTTTACCTTATATTCTCAACTTGGTTGGCAAAATCCCAGTGGCACTAAGGAAGCTTGAAATGAATAGGAAGCAGTCTTTATCCATCCATCCATCCATCCATCAATACAGGTAAGCCTTGACTTGCAACTGCTCAAAGTTCTGACAGAGCCCCTCTACTTATGACCCAGTTCCATATTTCTAATGAACGCCTCCCTGCGGTCTCAAGATTGCAACTTAAGCCATCTGCAACGTCTCACGGTCACATGACCCCAATTTATGACATTTTTGCTGAAAACTGGTGTTTACTTTAGGTTTTTGGCAAAAAAACCAACAACAACCCAGAGTGAATAATGGGTTCTCTTAATGACACAGTGCTCGCTGAACAACAGCAGATTCACTTAACAACCCTGGTCATTTGCTTAACAACCACCATAAAAAAGGCTCATCATGTGATGGCACACTTTACAACCAAGTTGACTTACAACTGCAAAGGGCAGGGTTCATTACGGTCATAAGTCAAGAACCACTTGTATGCTATATGTATCAAATTTCCTATTTCTCTATTACTGCTATTTATTCTTAAGACTTTTCATTAAAGTGGAAACATGCTCAAACCAATTAAAGTCAAAGGGAGTGGGGCAGCTCCAAATTTTTGAAAATAAAAGGATTTACATCTTAATCCCAATCATACATAAGTTGAAATATGAAGCTTCTCTTCCTAAATTTCTGTAAATCAGACAGTTCTTATACTTATATAAAGTATTCCTCTTTTAGGGACTAATACTAGTTTTCACATATGTCGTATGTCTGGGCTACCCTGTCAATTATTAGCAGCTATGAGTTGAGGGCAGGGGGAAAACCAAAGGTTGCAAACACTGTTTTAGGGTCATGATTTCCCTACCTTTGATATAAATTATGACTATTTACTAAATGATAGCTCTATTAAATCTACAGATACTTAAAAATGATGGTGACTGAAGCTGCCTTATGTTCCATAGAAAGTTTGTGTTTATTCCAAGTGGTTGTGCTACTCTCTTCAATGTAACCACATATCTATTTTTTCCAAACTAGAAGATAATATTTGTAGCTCACAGTTGAACTGTTGGATCCTTGGCACTCTTTGAGCTTGAAGATTTTCTTGCAGATATTTCATTACCAAACTAGGTATAATCATCAGTGCTAATACTGATCAGTCCTAGCACTGATGTTACCTAGTGTGGTAGTGAAATATTTGCAAGAAAACCTCCATGCTTAGACAGCATCAAGGATCCTACATTTTCCAATTTAAATGTCTTCCATGTTCATGAATTCTGAACTCTCAGAATTCATAGTGGGTATGGTGTTGTGGGATTCTTGGTGCCCTCATAACCACCTTGGTGGTTTTCTTGCAGATGTTTCATTACCAAAGTGGGTAACAACTGTTAATGAAACATCTGCAAGAAAACCACTAAACTCAGAGTGCACCAAGGACCCCACAGTTCAACCTTGAGCTACAAATATTCTCTTCTACTGTGTTTCCCAGAAAATAAGACCTGGTCTTATTTTTTATTTTTGCCTCCAAAAGAGACACCAGGTCTTATTTTCGGGGGGTGTCTTTTTCACAGTCTCACCTCACGGCGATGCCACCAATAGCCCTGCCTAGCTGGCCCACTACTTCTGCGGCCACTCGCCATCACTCACGCGCATCACCCCTGGCCTCCATTTTGCCATCAGAGGCCTTCAGGAAATGCCTCTGCAGCTGAGAATGGAGCTCTGGTTTAATGTGCGCGGTGCTCCCTGGCCTGCATTTTGCTATCAAAGGTCTTCCGGAAAGGCCTTTGCAGCCAAGAACTATGGATTCAATCAATCCGGAGCTCCATTCTCAGTTGCAAAGACATTTAGAATGCAGTACTGCAGGCTACTTCTGCTGACTGCTCACTGGCTCAAGGCTGACTCAGCCTTCCATCCTTCCGAGGTTGCTAAATTGAGGGCCCAGATTGTTGGGGGCAATATGCTGACTCTGTAAACCACAGAGAGGGCTGTAAAGCACTGTGAAGTGATATATAAGTCTAAGTGCTATTGCTATTTCCTGAAGGCCTCTGATGGCGAAATGGAGGTCAGGAGTGATGTGCGTGAGTGGCGGCAAGTGGCTGAAGAAGTGGGCCGGTGAGGCAAGGCATCGATTCATGGGAGGCCTGGCTGCAACGGTAAGTGGATGTGGGGCATATGGAGCAGCTACACCCCCCACCCTGCCCTAGCTTGATTTTTAGGCGTGTGCCTTGCCCCCAAACTAGGGCTTATTTTTGGGGTAGGGCTTATATTAGGCTCACCCCCCAAAATCAAGCTAGGGCTTATTTTCGGGGTAGGTCTTACTTTTGGGGAAACACAGTATCAGTGTGGGGGATTCAAGTCTGCATATCTGTGGGGGAACTAAGTTGGGGGAAATTACTGCTTTCTGAAGTAATCAGAGAAAAATAATCCAAACAATTAGAATATATAGACTAAGTGGTTTAAAAATTGAAGTTTTTTTTAAAAAAAGAAGCAACCCCAAAATTGGTGGTAATCATTAATGTGGACTAATTTCATATATAAGAGTAATCATACCACAAGGAGCCACTATCAGTCTAGGTTTTCCATCCAGTATTTCAGTTTCAAGCTTTAAACCGTCCCTGTAATCAAAAAAGAAAAAAAGGTGAACTGTTTCTATAATTGAAATCAGCTTGGAAAAATTATGGAGCATAATTTTTAAATAAAACAATATACAAAATAATAAAGATCTTAAAGAAAAATGATTACTATATGCAATCTGACACATTTTAGCTTTTTCTCTTTTCCACTTTTAGAATTCCCTCTTTCCTTAAATTCCTAAAAAACAATAATAACTTATACAGAATGGAAATTATCCAGTTTAGTGGGGAAAAAAGGTATCACTATATTTAAGTCAAACTGACTAGAATAAGATTTTCCCATTTTTAAAAAGTCATTTTACAGATAACAGGTGTAAAAATCATTTTATAGGAATAAAAAGTCATTATATATATATAATATCTTAAAAGAAGCAGCAATCTTTATGAAATGGTTCAGATCCAGCTTTAGCATGTGCAATCTGACTAGCAGGAATAGGCTTACCTGGCTACGAAGCAGGAAGCATCTTTGAAAATTAGAAACATCTTCTCCTTTTGGTGATTGCATACTTTTAAAACCAGATCTAACCTCACTATGCATATTACAATATATACATTACTATAACTAAAATGCCAACAAAACAGGATACTAAAAACCAATAATAAACCCCGATTATCAAATAAAAATTGTAACCATTCTGCTATCAGAAAACAGATTGCTAACTGTTGTATTTGCACTGGGACTATGCTGCCAACTAATTTAGTCTTAAAAGTTCATGGAAGCTATAAAAGAACCAAGCTTTCCAAAAACTATTTCATTGAGGTGATTGAAAATGGCATAAACCTCTGACCCTTAAGCTTAGGTGTTTCTATCCTCCTGGGACGAGAACTAGGAAAATCATCACTTATGCTGTATATGTCTACTTCCAGACCAGTATCACAGGGCCTTTAAAAAAAAAATTCTTCCACATAGGGATGGGGAAAGGAAAGAAAATATAAGTTTTGAAATACTTTTATTCACAGCTGATTTTAGAACTTTAGATTGACTGGTTTAGAAAAGCAGCAACAATTAAGCTCAAAGAGCACATTTGGTCTCCATGGTTCACTGTGGAATTTGTAGCTGTATTTACACACTATATTAAAACATAGCTTTGTTTGTTTAACAAACTGCAGCTAAAACTTCCTAGCTTAGCATGTGTAAACATAGCCTTCTCTTATCTTTCCTTTCGCAGAATAAAGCCTCTGCATATAATTGTAAATCTGTAGAGTAGGAGAAAGAAGGCTTCAGTCATCATTATTATAAAACCTCATAGCTATTTCAAATAACAGCTCTCTCATGCAGAGAAACATAGGGGTGAAACAGAAATGAGCTGCTAATAGTGGCTATGAATAACAGATTGGATGTCCATTTTTGCACATTTTATTTGTTGAATCACAAAAGGACCACAGTTAAACATGACCTGAATTATGCTGGGAAATCTAAAGCAATCTACAACCATATAATCCTGTGATCCAAATAATTACTTGCTGCAAGGAAGGAAGCCACAGCCTTTAACCACATACTATGCTATATTTGAACAGTAATCATACCTTAAGTTATAAAGGCACAAATGTCATCTGCCAGACCCTAATCTAATAAAGTATTTCTCCAATAATCAAATTAGGAGAAAGTGCCTTATCAAGCTTGAAGAGACAAATGTGATATTGCACCTAAACATCTGAAAGTCGCACACAGAATACCTTTTCTGTTCCTTGGAAAACATCTACAAAACTCTTCTGCTTTCATGCTTGTACACAAGTGCATTACAGAACAATGACCTGCCTCATTCATGCACAATGGTCTAGATAGCATTTCGCAACTGTTAATATTTTTAATATGAATGTTCTAAATGTTTTTCCATTTTCAAAAAGAATATGTTGATAGTTGGTAGTTAGGAGGTTCCATGTGGAAATTCTTCCACATCTAATACTGGTAAGGAATTCTGTTGAATGTGATGCAATCTGGTGAATGCAATTGTTCACAGCCAGACCTGTGATCTTCTCCACATTCATGAAACTCCTGCTAACACCTCTCATAGAGCCTACCGATCGTAGTTCTTTGCCCAGCCCTTTCCCCCCTTTCCTCACACCAATATTTTGTTGTTGTTAAATAGAGCAATTATTTTCCTTGGAATGTGATTTGCCTTTGAGTGGTTTTTTTTTCTAACAAAAAGAATGGCAACATGAACTCACCGGGCTGATAATAAAAATGAAATTCATGAATTCTAGTCTATATGACTGTCGTCAGTACTCAATACATTTATTTCCAAATATCTGGGGTTATCAAAAACGTCGCAGTCCACTCTTGTGGCTTGAACGCAACATACAGAAAACCTGCAGCTGAAGCTGTCCAGCTCCTGGCGTGGACTAGGGCAGCCGGCATGCCTACCTAGCATAGCCTCAGCCAAGCCTCAACATCGCTAGCACCGTGTTGTTTGCAAGATTGATAAAGACTGCACAATAAAGCGAGCCCAGTACTTGCCACGCGAAAGGGACGGGGCCCCAGCGGGCATAGCTAGGCAGGAGCAGCTCTCGCAACCTCTGGAAAAGCCACATCAGGCTTCAACAGGAATGATCTCAGTGGCTTCGTGGAGCTCGCTCCGGCTGGAGGGCAGAGGATTTCACCCCCTGCCAGCTCTCACTCGAAAGGACGAGATCACCCAAGAACGTCTTGCCGCCCTGGGATCGCGGCAGAGCTTCGCTTCCTTACCCCAGATTCATGGCCGCGTCTCTGCTCCGCGGAAGAGCGCAAGAGCCCGTCTGCAAGGGCAGCGGCAGCAGCAACAGATGTGCGAACAGCCCCCTGGTCGGCTCTCGCCTTAATGTGTGTATGTCGGTTGCTGCCACCGCACAATGAAAGACGAGCTGATAGGCCTGCGGCTGCCCTGATTCTTTCACCAATGAGCTCCGCTCTCACTTATCGAGTAGAGCTCCCCGCCTACGAAGCATTGTGGGAGTTGTAGTCCAAACGCTTCCGGGCACACTTTTCCGAAGCGGAGGCAAAGAAGCGCTGAGCGTTCTTGTTCTTTTTTCCTAAGGATCCTTTATGCATCAAGAGTTGCTTCAATCTCAGCCACTTTAAGACGTGTGGACTTCAACTCCCAGAATTCCCCAGCTAGCAATTCTGGGAGTTGAAGTCCACAATCATCAGCAAACGCTCAAATAAGGGAAGGCTAATTTGGATCATCAGAGAAATTTCATTTCTGTGGTTTGGCTGTGGGACATGGAGGAATTACATCATGAGTTTAAAAAAAAAAGAAAAAAGGAAGGCCTGACTAGTAGGTGTTGGAACAAATACAGCAAAGATTCAGAGAAGAGATTCTGGAATTGTTCTGACATTGTTTCCAATCTCTTAATGACAGTTCTATGTTTGGTCACATGACTCGGAAGGAGGAAGCGCAGCCTTAAGAGTGGAGAAATCAGTAACGTTCCAAACGGCAGGCCAAATGATTTTCCAGTAGGAAGTACTGGGCATATTGTTTTAGGATTTTTTTTTCCTTTGCTGGCTCTGGCTGGATTGGGCTCATTTTCCAACTTGAATTTTATTTTGCTGGTTTCTCCCCCACACTAATTTTGACCCATTTTTTTTCAGATTCCCAAGTGTTGTCCTGCCTAAAGACAGGTATATAGAATCTCAAGCTCACTTCACTGGGTGGGAAAGAATGCAAACAGCAAACTTTGAAGAATTAATATGTTTTCATGCTCTGTAAACTGATTACGGTAAAGCAGTTTATCTGATAAACATTTTTGTTTTATTTATATATTTGTATCCCACCTTTATTATTTTTAAGGCATCTTAACCAATGTTTGGCTTTTCTGCCTTATTTTTAAATGCCACGTGATTGAAAATGTGATTGAATTAGTGTGGCTGTACTGCTTATGACTGATCTTGGCTGATCTAAAAAAAACTAAGCAGGATAGACTATAGTTAGACCTTGGAGGGGGGACAAACCAGGTAATGTCAAGAAAATTACAGGGAAATCTCCATGTAATCTCAGCAGTTTAGCTCAATTTCAAGGAGGCTTTATGAAGGGTATTTTGCTCCTAGTCCATACTGCAGAAATAAAATGTAAAATCCACGACATTGATTGAATGATTGATTGACTTAGTTACTTATTAGATTTATACAATATTCTACATTTCTTCTAGGCAGTCGGGCTCAATGTGATTTGTACAGGGATCCCTCGTTATTTTATCCCCTCCACAACCACCTGTGAGATTAATGGAACTAGGGTCAATCAGTGAGTTTCATGTAGAAATTTATGTCTCTTCCATTCTAGTCCAACATCTTGATTTCAATACCCCTAGTTCTACTTTACGAAGAATACAGTATTAATAACTAAAACACATTTGAAAATAATGTTAGTTTAAGAACAGACCTTACTTTGATTTGCCTAATAGTAAGATACTAGTTTCTTATAAACATGATTTCAATCAGTAGATGGCAGAATAATCAAGTTTTGATATCCATTCTATAGCTTAACAAAAAACAGTATAATAGTAACAATATTTCAGATTTTTTGGATGCATGTTTAGGAAGTAATATCCTGCAATTTATTTGTATGTGTGATTGTGTGGGTGTGGGTGTGTAAAGTTGCATTTGTGAAAGTAATGTATTTGTCTCCTTTTTCTCCAGCCAAAGGGAAGATATATATATTGCATTCAATTTTGGGATTGACATAGTTTCCATCTTTGCATGAAGTCATACAACAGCAATGAGAAGATGCAGAATATTGTAGATTTGCAGTGGTTCTGACATATCTTCACTGTCCAGTTTTTAGCCCCAGTGCCAATAAAGTACAATAAAGTAGGAGAGGCATAGCAGTGGAGACTGTTCTATTGATTTGGAAGAATTTCAAAAGGTAGCCCATAGCTTCTAGTTCCCTCTAGCAACCTTGTTTCCTAAATTGGCTTCAGACCAGTACTAGTCCACGAACTGTGAGTTGAGGACCCTTGATATAAAGGAAATGGTTCTAATGATATGCAAGTATGTTCTCTGCAAAACTATAGGTAATCTTCGCTTACTGACCATTTATGCAGCAACCATTCAAAGTTATGACAGTGCTGAAAAAAATAACCCATTTATGGCCCATTTATAACCATTTATAACCATTGCAATGTTCCCTCAGTCATATGATCACCATTATAGTCAGTATGCCTTGTCCTGTGCCTGACCTGTGTTTTGTTTTCTTTTCTTTCCCCCCCTTCTTACAGAACAGAATGATTGGAGAGAGATTTCAAGCTGTTTGCTCCTCTAAACATTGAATACAGTCTGGGGTTGGAAACCATGGCTGTGTTATGCAAAGAATGTACAGTACTCTTTTAAAATCTCTTCTTCAATCTCTTTCTGTGAGGGGAGGGGCAAAATTTCCCATTTAGGGAGCCTTGCATGCATATACCTGTAAATAAGAGTTTGAATTTCAGACCTTGGACAGATACAGAATCTAGGTTCCATGTAAAGGGCAACATTTTTTTCAGAGTATGTCTCTGTTTATTGAATCAATGCCTGTGCCAAAGTCTGTGGAAGTTGTAAACAATTAAGTCCTTAATTGTAGTTTTCTACACAATAACATAAAATGAAACAGTTAATAGTAGAGTGGTGAGGTCTAAAACAGGATTGTTCTTTCATTAATAAACTCTTTTCAATTGCCTAGGCTTGGATATTATGCAAAAGATATGTGACATCAATCAGACTAATTGGTTTGTAATTAGATGGATCACCCTTATTATGGTTTGTTGCATGTTCAGCCAGATGTTCAGACTAGATTTGGCATTTTTGTCCATCTATCAAGTCCTTCTCAAGGACCTGGGATAGGTAGATGTGGATGTTTGATGGTGTTAACAGATATTGTCACAGGATGTAAGCTGTCCCAATAAAGCTCCTATTAACTGCAACCTCTTGGGGGAATCTTTTTCAGTTCAAATGTTCTTAATTCTGTTCCAATTTTTCAGAGACTATAAGAACAGAATCAAGACCTTTCTCAGGTGAAGTAACTATGACTGCCATAGTCGGGGCTTCCTCAGTATTCATATATTTAAATAGTGCTTCAGTTTCCACTCTGGCCCATTTTATCCTTCTAGGGTACCTCTGAATGAAGTAAAGACTACCAATCATCTGAATTATGGGCTCCAAGGTCTGAGTCCCCATAAAAAGTTACAGAACTGGTGGATGGGCCACTATTCTCTTTTACATAAATCTAAGTGTCAGAGAAAAGAAAGCCTTTGTTATCAAGACACAAATATAACCTAAGATGTGCTTGTTTTACCCTTCTGATAAGAAAGGGATAAACAAGGCTTTGGTCTTTTCCCCCTTAAGTTTGAAAGTTTCCTTTGTGTACTAGGGTGGACAGCAGTAAACCTTTTCTGGTTTCTAAAGAATCATAAAGGTAATACTAAGAAGAATTATTTTGATATACTGTATTGTTGGCATTGATATGATCTTGCATGGTCCCATTCTAACATTGCAATAACCTAAGTACAATATCCTTAGGAATTGTCAGAATTATCTCAATCAGGATTTTTTTTCTAAATTCATCGATATATCAAAAGAGTAATCAACAGACATTTTTGGAATGATGTAAATATTCAACATTACGATCTCAGAATTTTTTTTACTGAAATTTAACAGCTAAGAAAACAGGTGAATTGTATGTCCTTCTGGCCTAGTTCTTTTTTGATCAATATGGCCATTGTTCATTGTTCAGCCTTTTTCTTTTATTTTCCATGCCCTGGTAGTCCAAGCCTAAAACCAGATATCAAAACATATTCTTCTCTAGTTACAAGCCAAGACTCTTATAATGGAATCGATCCAAAGTTGGACAGAAATCCAAATAGGTTTTTGTCACATAATGGGTTCTTTTGGCTGGTGGAGAATAAAGAAGGTGACTTTGACAAAAATACACAAAAACGGTTATATAAGCCAGCAGAGCTGAAACATTCTTTAAATCATGGGAAGTGAGATAATATTCAGAAGCATCTATTTCCTTTGCTTGGTTGGGGGGGGGGCTGTAGTATATACCTATGGTAATGTCATTCTTTTTTCCTTTTATATTAACCCAAATGCATTCAAGGAGGCTTTCATCCTTGGTTTTACGCCATTCTGTAGAGATGTAGTGAATTCTTACATATTATGCAACTCCATCTCTCCTTTTGTTAGGTCTGTTTCTTTTGAATAGTTTATATCCTTCCGGCAATACATTCCATTCATGAGATTCATCCCACCAAATTTCAGTATTGGCAACTATATCGTACCTGTCGTCATCTACTAACTAGGACCCTATTTGCTCCTCATGCCCTGAGCATTAGTGCATAGGCATCTGAGTCCTTTATGGCTGATCCTGAGTTTGCTTCCACATCTACTTTGTATGTGAATTTTTCTTCCTTCCATCCCACTCTACTTCCTTGTTGGATTGGTTGTCTTGGGGTTTATGCTTGGGATGAGGTCGTAAAGATCCTAAAGATTGGTCACTCTTCTCTTCTGGTTATAGTTTGAAGCTCTCCGGGTAAGCCAAATCAGACAGATTTTCCTGGCTCCCTCAGGAGGGTGCCTAATAAACTTATGTAACTTTTTCTCTTCTAGGAACTTCTAGCATCATCCTGAGGTGCCATCAGAATGGGGTTGCATTGCAAGAGTGAACCTCTTTCCCTTTGCTGCAGATTCTAATATCTTGACAACCTGTTTTAATTTTACTCCTTTCTTTCTTATAATAATTCTTGCATTTCTCCATAAATGTTAACTTCTTACTCGTTTTCTACAATGTGCC